AAAGTAACTACTTCAGATTAGGCTATAGATTATACTTACGCGTAACTTTACTCAGAGGTTAAAAAATCTGCCATTAAAAGAACAGTGAGTTTTAGAGCATAAAACGTATTAAATATAATGGATATTTTTTTATTAAACTTTCTGTTTTTAAACAGTTTTGATTGAAAATTATAAAAAAAATGATATAGGATACCTAGAAAGATTTATATTATAAAACAACATGTAAAAATACTGAGTATTTTCTGTTTCAAGCGTTGTCTCTATTACCTAAACTAAATACTAGAAACAAAGTTTTAACTGGCAGTTACTACTACGCTTTATCAAATATTCTAAAAAATGTAGGTCGCGTTCTTTCTGCATTTTTTATCACATAGGATTTTCTCTTGAATTAGAGTGCCTGTCTAGATACAATCTTGTTATCCTAATATGACAGATGTAGAAGATTTATACAAATGTGAAAAACGTTTCACGTTCTGCAATGCTAGATGAAATCTTTAATTAGGCATCAAATTTGTAAAATGTTAGATAATATGTAGGTATATAGGGAAAATAAAAAATATTATAATGAAGAGTAAGAACTTTTAAATTTTAATATAACTAGAACAAAACATTCAGTAATTAAAAATTTTGATAGGAATTAAAAATTATGCTCGAGTATAAATGTGGTGCTTGTTTTTAAGTGGTTTCGATTTACTTTAGGTTTGTTTCAACAATGCTCAGAAATGAGTTACTGACATCAGGATTCTGCACAGTAGTTTATTGAGACTGCAAAATTGTGTACTACCCAGTGATTTGTTTCTGATCGTTGTTGGAACAGACCATTTATTCAATAAATAATCGAACAAGTTAAATGTGTATTTGGAATTTTTTTAATTTTACAAATCTGGAGCTTGAATATGGATTTTCAAATAATGCACTTTTTGTAGTTTTTAATAATTCTTATTTTTTTTTTTTAGTTTCTTGTTCATTTAATAAAGATGCTTTTTTGTATATGGGGTGATAATTTTTAAGCAGAGGCGTGCAGCACCCACAAGATCACTGCCAAAATTAAAGCAAATGGGTAATCTAGAAAGGTTCCCTGCACAAGATTTTCAAGAACTTGTAAATACAATGTTTTAATGAATTATTGCCGTTATCAAAGTTAAAGGTGATGAAACACTCATGAAAATTTGCAAATATTTAACCCTTTCAGTGTATTTGTCCCTCCAGAGGGACACTGTCTTAATTAACCCTGAAGTATACATCTGTTAATTTTGGTAGAATTTTTTTCTTTTTGGTTTATTTACTTTATTTGCATTACTTTTAAGGATTAATGTTATAAAAAAATATTTTCATAGTAAATTTTTGTTTTTGTTATGTCCCTGAACAGGGACGTTATGTCATGGAGTAATAAAAAATACTATGAAAATATTTTAATTTACTTAAAATAAACAAAGAAAACATACAATCTACTACAATGGTATTTTTTTTAATAAAAGTGGAAGTGAAAGGGTTAAAAAAATAAAAGAATTTATTAGATTTATGTATGATTTGTTCTTGTAGTGACAGTCACTATAAATTTGAGAAGTGTGCTAATTGAAACGGGACAGGGCTCATATAGTTTTATTTAAAAAGTAAACCTTGTCATTAATTAAATATAAATGATTATTATATTACATTATTGAAATATATAATGTAAAACAAATTGTTGTACTGTCTTTCTGAAATCGGAAGTGTTGTCAGGTTTGTTACTGTCTGCTGCTAACTGTGATGTGTACAAGCGAACATAATAAACTTACTTATTGAGTACATTAATATGAAAAACTCGTAATAAATCTGGAAACTATACATTTGAAATGTTCCTACTTATTTTTTTCATTACTGCTATTATCTAATAGAACAATTCCTATGCTTTTATTTAATATATCATTTTCCACAAATAAATATAAAAAAATAATTAGTAAAATTATGAAATGAGTTCCAATTAAATAATGAACTATATTATTAATTTAAATTGTTAATATAAGAAATGAATAAATTAAGAAAGTAAAAGTGTAATAATGGGAAATGTGTAAATTGTATTTATTTCTAATTTTAAATAATTTTGTGTGTATTGTTAATTTTCTTTCTAATGTAAAATTAATAAATTAATAATTTTAACAAAAATTTAATGAGATGTTTTATTTGTGTTAGAATCCGAATACAATAAGAAGAACGCTACTGTCATAATGATTACTTCGAATTTCAAATACATAGTATCTATAACTTATCAATAAATAAATATTAAGTTGTTAGGTATAAAAAAATATTTCCTATATTCCTAAAAGATTAACACCTTACCCGCAGTGGATAACTTCGGTAACTGTATCAGCAATACTTTCCACATTCTTGTCTCCTTTGAGAAGTAGTCCCATCATAAGTAATAAAAGCAGGAACAGCATTTTTTAGGTAGTTTTTTTTTATATTTGCGCTGCACATTAAATAATGGTAATCTTATAATTGAAGGGTCTGAACCATTCTTGTTCCAGCTAGTTCTGATAGTTGGAATCGTAACATATAGTTGCAAGGTTATATTTAATTATTTGGAACCAGGGAATAAGCATATTGAAATAATTTTTACTTTTTATCTTGTATTTACCAATTTTTACATCGATTAAAAATAAAAAAAAATCTGTAGATTTTCAAGTAATACGATCGTTATTTTTAACTTCAAATTTGTGTCAAATTCTAGACTTCAGTGTGGAATGGTGTGAATATGCGGATTTCTAGACTCGTCAATTACAAGATAACCTTAAATAATTATAAGGTACATCAGAAAAAACATTCTTTAAATTATTAACCAGTGTATGTACAAATTATTCAATACACAAATTACCAACATTATTAATTTAAAATCAGTACTTCTATAAAAACCTAGTAAATACATTTAAAGAACTGGAACAAAACACATTCGGGGATGATTATTATTAAACAAATGTATATTTAAACACTTAAAAATAAAAAGGCTACAAGTAAAATAAATTTATCATAGTATCTATTTGATTCATATAATCAGATACAACTTTCTAGCATTATAATTAGGCTAAAAGGAATAAGTCAAAGATTTTATTTATTCGCAGGGTCAGAAAAATATCAAAAGAAATACCTATGTATGTATATGAAATTTATATCATGAACACATTATAATAGAGTCCAGGTCATAACATTATTAGTACCAAGGAGACAGGATAAATAATACGAAATATTTATATAATAAAACTTTATACTAATAATTATTTTTATTACAGAAAAGACAAAGTTGAATAACCTATTTACATAACCTACAATCATTTAAAACGTAGACATTAAACATATTTACTTGGAAAATAACGTTTCCTAGAAGATTTCTTAGCACTTTTTCACGGATAACAATTTGCATTAAAATGTTTTTCACAAATGGAACTTTTGGGTTTAATGTTTATTTTCATACCACCAATAAATAATTTGCACCATATTCTGTATAACTATTTTTTGGCATTATAAAACTGCTATTAATATGTTGAAGACTCTCTTCCATAATCACAATTAAAAACAGCACAACGATTCACCATGATTTATATATTTTAAGATTTTAAAAAATATTTATCTGTCAACATTTTTCAAATTACAGCTCCTACTTTTATCTTTTATTTTTATTTACTTTCTCGCCGGATAGACACTAGCGAACCTAGCGGTTTTTGGCTAGGAAGTACGATTGGTTTTATCGCCGTTTTCATTTGTTTTTAAATAGGAGATGCACCTTATAGTCCACCGTGATTAATTCTCACAAAATATATATTTCAATAAGGTCGAGTTTTCTTTCGATGGGACATTTTAGGTAAATTATTTAAATTTTTTATATAAAAAAATTAATTAATTTACCTAACCAGTGCGACCTGGAGCCGTCGCGGTATGCCTCGCAAAGAAATATAAAAAATAAGAAAACTTCAAACAAAAATTTTAACTAATTTACCTAACTTGTGCGGTCTAGAACCCTCGAGGGTTGCTTCGAAAAAAAAAAAAAATTATACAAAAAAGAGAAAAATAAAAACTTACCTAATTTACCTAATCTGCGCTATTTAAATTCAACTGATTGCTCTCGCGTATGTTAGGTAAATTAGTTTAGTTTTTTTATTATAAAAAAATTTAATTAATTTTCCTAACCTGTGCGGCGTGAATCCTACGCGGTTGTCCTTGCAAAAAAAAATATAGAAAAATAAGAAAACTGAAAACAGAAACTTTAACATGTGCGGCCTGGAGCCCTCGAGGGTGGCTTTACAAAAAAAATTATACAAAAAAGGGAAAAATAAAGAAAACCTAACCTATTTACCTAACCTGTACGGTCTGGAGCAATTTAAATGATTGCTCTGACCAGGGCCGGACTGGCATCAAAAACCGGCCCGGGCGATTATTTACCAAAACGGCCCATTTCTATGTGGCTTTCAGAATAATAGGTAAAAATGCAAAATATGGGACACATGATTTTGAAATAATATTTGGTTTCTTGTGAGAATAAGAATTATTGAGGTTTTTATCTCTTCGGATGTTTGAATTAATATTCAGATTCAGGGTTAATAGGGCTCAGGCAAAAAAACAACCTAAGAAAAAATAACTTTAAGTATTGAAAATAAAAAATATATATATAATTTCTTCTCAAAAATAAAAATAAATAAAAAAATAAAATCAATTCTTTTAACAAATAAAAAAAAATTAAAAAAAAAAACAAAATAAATTCTTTTAACAAATAAAACAAGAAAAACAACAGCATCGTCAATTATATTTATATGGTGAGGAACTTTGTCATTGCCGCACTCTTTTTTGTTAAATGATCGATTATTTCATTATTATTTAATGAATAAAGTACATCCTTTTCAATGGCCATCAACATGAAAGTCTCCACATTTTCCTGAGTAAGACTGTTCCGTACTTTATTTAGTATATAATTAAGTTTTGAAAATGACCGCTCACAGCTCACTTGTGTAATTGATAAAGTTAAAATATACTTATAAGCTATTTCCAAATCAGGATATACTTCTGCATATAAATTATATTTTAGCAATAGTCTATAGCAGCACAAAATGCAGTTTCGACACGTGTTACATTTATTTTTTAATCCATCGCCTTCAATATCATTCGTTTGATGTATTTCAGCTCCAGTAAACTCATCAGGTAGCGATTTGGACAATCGATGCCATTTTGAAGCTAGATCAATTAATTGTGTTTTTAAATTATCATGATCTATGGATGGAAAGAATATTTGTAGTTTAGCTGTGACATTTTTCAAAGCATGTTCGGGCAACTTTGACAGTGATTCAAAACTACTAGGATGAAAACATTCAAAGTCTGTGTATAATTGTTTGTGTTTGACGAAGCGGGATTCAATAGAATTTATAACCTGATCCATTGTCACGAAAAATACTTTGATTTTAAAATCATCTATTGGACTACTTGAATTATTGTCACCACATGTCTCATCATGGAACTTAGTTTTTCTAATCGTTCTTTGAAGTGGGAATTCGGTTTGAATTTCACCAGGAAAATTTTTATCTAAAAAACTGATATTAACCATATTTATGAACTTGTCTGTTTCCTGTATAATACTTTCAAAGTCTCTAGACATATTTTTCAAAGCTTGCAATGTCTCCTCGACCATACGGTAGGACTGCAGAAGGTCCATTCCAGAGGTTTGTAAATATTTCGAAAGAGGAGATATATGAAAAAATATTTTTTTAAATATCACGGACATGATAATGGTTTCATATTTAAGAAAACCATCCAGAAAACACTTCGCCTTGAATTTTACTTCAGCGTTGAAATTATTAGAAAGAGTCATGGTGTGAAGAGTTTCACATAATATAACGAAAAAACCGTTTTTCGTATCGAATATTTTCGTAAGTGCTTTTTCCTTTGCCCACCACCTCGTTTCGCCTATAATATTAATAAAACGAGAATTCGAATCGGTATCCAATGCATTTTTCCATACATTCATGCGAAGGTAAGATTCTCTAACAAAAACTGCAGTTTTATTTATCAATCCAAATAAAGAAACAGCAGGTATGGTTTGATTAGTTACATCGGCCACTACTAAATTCAAGACGTGAGCATAGCACCACACGTGGATCTGTCCAGGGGAATCTTTCGACAACCATGTAGTGAAACCTTTATATTGGCCTTGCATATTACTGGCTCCATCAGTGGAGTTTCCTACGCATCTTCTAATATCTAAATCTAAGTCCTTCAAACATTGTGCTATCATTTCATACATGTCTTTTCCTTTACTGGAATTACAATTTATCAGTCGAATTAACCTTTCATGCACTACCCTATCCGTTACAAATCTAATGATAACAGAACATTGATCAACTACGTTAATATCTTGGGTAGTATCGATTTGGATAGAAAATATTTCAGCCCTCTTGACGTCATCTGAAATTTTTTTCTTAATTAAGTTTGATATGCCTGACAATATTTCGTTTACAGTCGTCTTGGATAATAGTGATATGAAAGCGCCTCTTCCTCGACGTTGTCCGCATTCTTCTGATTCTTGGAAATTTCCATTAGTAGGAGTACTTGGTTGAATTGGATGAAGACTTCGGCGATTCAAGTTACGTAACCGATTTTTTTTACTTTGTTCTGCAACTTTTTGAATATGATTATGAAGTATTGGGTCGAATTTAGCTATCAATAAAATTATTTCTAAGAAATTGCCATGATCAATATTATCGTTGAGTAGTGTATAGGCAGCTTCATTTTCACTACCGCCTCGATAGCTCAAACCCCGTTTTCCTATCATTTTAATAGTTTCAATTATTCTAATTATTATTTGTCTGTTATTTTCAATTTTCATTCTGTGTTCTGCTGCAGCACTTGAAAATAACAGAGAATGAATGTCTCCCTTGTTTTTATGTAAAAGGTAAGCCTCAGAACTATTAATATGAGTTCTATTCATCTCATGTTCCTCTAATCTTGTATAAATATGTTTGACAGATATTTTGATACTGATACCTGTAGCGAGAGATGGAAGTTGGTCATCTTTACACAATCCTAGACAAATCCAACAATAAAACATTTGTTTTGATTCATTGTAACTCAACCAATTTCGTTTTCCACCTGTTTTTTTATTATAAATCAGATCATTGTTACAACTTGATATAAGAGGTTGACGGGGATGACCTTTCAAAAATAAATCTAGTTCTCGATTTGATGGCCTGGTGAAAAAAAAATCAATATTCTCAATGATAATTTGTTTATCTGATGATGACAAGTGTATTTCAACATTTTCTCCACACGTGTCAGAAGTTTCAGAACTCACATCAGAATCTTTATTATGGTTTGTTGTAGCTTTGTCACTGCCAATCTCAGAGTTTATGATATCATTATTGTCATGGGGTATATCTGAGTTTTCTGAAACACATTGATTTGAACTTGTTGTATTATTGTCATTGGGGATATCTGAGTTTTCTGAAACAAATTGATTTGAACTTGTTGAATTATTGTCATTTAACTTGTTCCTCTTGCCACCAAATAAATCGGAAATTTTATGGCAGCTCTCAGCACTTCGTTCAAGGAATTTTCTCTTTCTCTCCCTTTCTTTCTCTGCCCCACCTTTCTGTTTTTTCATTTTAATAATTATTAACTGTAAGGAAACAATTCAAAAGTCAATTGAGAATATATTGCAAATATAATAGCACGGGAGACAGCGTTGTATTTTGGAAAGTCATTTCAGGTCGCTTGATTTTGTGTATAATCGATAGCCTAGATATTGCTAAAAATCGAAATAAGCGTCAGCTGTTACAATCTTAGTGGACCTGGTCCATTTATTAGAATATAGGGTTTCCGAACCAGGTCCACCAAGATTTTAACAGCTGATGCTTGTTTCGATTATAAGCCATATCTAAGCTATCGATTACACACAAAATCAAGCGACCTGAAATGACTTTTAAAAATACAACGCTGGCTCCCCGGGCTATAAAATCACAGGTCAATCAACAAAATTTTTTATCACACCTTCGACCCAATTGGAATTGAAAAAGTATTATTTTTTTTACCATAATACCTTCATTACAGTTCAACTGGCCCGTTCACTCTCATTTTTGATAAAAAAATAATCACATGTAAACAAAATAACCGTCAGAATTTTTAATTCATTTTAAAAATTAATTCTAATGTCTAGGTAGGTTCACTGTTGGGTTCTAATTAACAGTGATGTTTTTGAAGTGGCGCTGGGAAACAGTTACAAAGCCTACACAGAACACGAGAGTTGATGCCGACGAAACAGAAAAAAAAATATTAATTATTATTATTGTTATTAATTATATTATAGTTTACTATAATTTAAAAAGCTCACAGGCTGAATCTGAAAATACTAACATACAATTTTTCAGAAATGAAGTGTGATTTTCAACATACGAGTCACTGAAAGAATTTAATGGGAATTTCCCTGGCTCTATAACATTTTAATTCCAGCCACCCCCCCCCCCCGAACCCCGAAACATATTGATATTTATTAAGAAAAACAACTTTTATCATATCATAATTTCAAGTAAAAATAATTTTATAACCCACAAATCTTCCCCAAAACATTTTTCTGGCTACGGCCTTGGATAAAAGTGTTTATAAATCTATGATTAATACAAGTTCAAACGTGAAAGCGAACAGGTCCATTATGCAATTTTTATAGGTTAGCTAATAAATTCAACTTAGTTAATAGTTTATAGATAGATACTTTCTTTACTCTCCATTTGGCAACAGGATATTTTAAATTTCGACCACTAAGTACATCACATAAAGAAAGAACAAAAAATGTAATATACTTGCCACATACTTTTAACTAAACGTTATAGGGCTGCAAATATCACACACTACACACTCTTTTGATAAATTTTTAATTCCAAGACGACTAGACAAGACTCATCGGCGGCTAAATGTTATATGTCCGTCCCTACATAGAAAAAAAATTGATGCCGACTTCTCTACTCTCCTGTTTCGTATTTTCGAATGTTCGCGATTGAGAATTGAGACGGAGCGCTTACACACAATTTGCAGGCTGATCATTCAACAGAGCTGGACCGGCCCAAATACACCTCCGGCCTTTCGGGCGATCGCCCGATCGCCCGATATGCCAGTCCGGCCCTGGCTCTGACACAGGTTAGGTAAGTTAGTTAAGTTTTAGGTAAGTTAGTTAAGTTTTTAAAAAACCTAACTAACTTACCTACGATCTGTCAGAACAATCAGTTCAATTTCCCCAGGTCGCACAGGTTAGGTAAATTAGTTAAGTTTTCTTTATTTTTATAAAACTTAACTAACTTACCTAACCTGTATCAGATCAGTCAGTTAAATTGCTCCAGTCTGAAAATGTCGCGGTTTGCCCGCAAAAAAATTATAAAAATAAAAAAAAATTAATTTACCTAACCTGTATTATTCAAATTTAACTGATTGCTCTCGCACAAGTTAGGATGGTTAGGTACGTTACTTAAGTTTATTTTATTTTTCAATTTTGTTTTTGCGAAGAAGCCAGCGATGATTCTAGGCCACACAGGTTAGGTAAATTAGTTAAAATTTTGTTTTCATTTTTCTTATTATTCTATAGTTTTATGAATATTTGGTTTTTCGATCAGTTGCTTTTTCTATCAAATCTATTTTCGATCATTATTCTTTTCGATCATTTTTCTGTTCGATCATTTTTTTTTTCCGATCAGTTGTTATTCGATAAAATGTTTTTTCGATCAAATGTTTCGATCAAATGTATTCGATCAATTTTGTGCCACCCAGGCATTTACGAACCAAGCATAAGCGACGAAGAAGCGAATACTTTATGTTGTGCTTATGAAGACTAGATAGAAGCAGGCGAATCGGCAATGGTCAAATTTCAAAATTTCTGGCTCTTTTTATAAAGTTCGCTAAATTGACTGCAGTCGGTAGGTCGAATGTCACTGACGTTCGTCTTCTATATAAGTAAATGTAAAGTTGACTGATTTTTAAAAAAAAATTGTGAAAAGAATCAATATAATGTGAAAAAAAAAAGTAAAATGAGTGACAGAAAACATAGCAAAATTTACTTCGTTCCCGATTATAAAACAGGATATAAATCACATGTAAAACTCAATGTCTCTTTAAAGCTTCTAATGTAAGTAAAATAATGTATTCTTGTCTAAATATAATATTTATTGTAAACTAGTCACAACACGGACTGTAGTTTATTTTATTACAAGTTTCTATAAAATAAAATTTAAGTCATAGATCCTGACTTACAAACAACACTAAATTAAACTTACTAGAAAAGAAAATTTGCTTTTTAGAGAGTTTTAGTTTTAGATAAAGAGTTGCTACTGTTATTTTTTTGTTAAACCCCAATTTTGTCATTGTTAATGTTTTTTATAGGACCCTAAATGCTTAGAACAGTATCAGCATATATATCGTTCCTAGGGCCGATAAAGCACTTTCTAGAGCTGATGCTGTTCTACACATTTTAGAAGATATTTCCAAATATTATAAGACTCTTTCTACTGATGGTACTGTTAACAAAATAAAAAGGGGAAAGACGAAATTAAAGGATATTGCAATATCATGTCCATTCCCAAATCTCCCTTTATGCTTGTATTATAACAATAAAAAAATCTGTTAACTGTGTTTAATTTTGCTCTTAACTACTATATTTAGGTATAATTCAAAAAAAATTTGTCACAAAATTGTACTTACCAAATTTCACCATTTAACAAATCTTCGAATTTGGTCATATACAGTTAGTCCAAAAAGTCTCCGTACACTACCTGCTTTATATAGAATTTTTCTGTTGCATTTAATTTATTAATTGAAACTACGAGAGAATACGCTCTTTTCAATAACTGAAGCATAAGTAACGATTATAAGTTATAATTACAATAATTGGACATTTTTATTTAAAAGAAACATCGGCATTATAAAAATCTATGCAAAATTTATGTCAAAAAAGTCTCCGTACACTCATAATTTTCATTGAAAAAAGCACATTATAATTAGCTGCATTTCATCAAGGCACCTATGGCTCGCCAGCCTAAAAACAAATAAATAATTATCGGCCATAATTTATTATCTGTCATTTGTTGTTGGTAGATTTGCAGTGAAGTTTCAAATTAGCATTCAAAATGAGCGAAAGAAATCGTGAAATTGCAATTCCACTTCGAAAGTTGATAGTTGATTTATGGAAAGAAAAAAATCCCTTGGAAATATTGAAAAAATTGTTAAGAAGCCGTATACTACCGTTCAGTACATTATAAACCAGTATAAATTAACGGATTCCTACAAGATTCGACCACGTTCTGGTCGTCCCAAGAAACTGACTCCGCGTGAAAAAGATAGTATTGTTAGGCAAGTAATTATAAATCCCAAAAAAAGTGCACCAAAACTAAACGAAAAAATACGAGAGCTATTTTCAAAAAATGTTTGCCCACAAACGGTGAGAAATTGTATACACAGAGCAGGCTATAAGGGGTGTACTGCCAGAAAGAAGCCGTTAATTTCGGAAGTTAATCGAAAAAAACGTTTAGCTTTTGCTACAGAATACGTTAATAAGCCTCCTGAATTTTGGGAATCTGTAATATTTAGTGACGAAACTAAAATTAACCTTTTTGGATCTGATGGTAGAGCTAAAGTTTGGAGAAAGAAGAATACCGCCTTTGATATCAAAAACCTCTGTTCCACGGTAAGACACGGGGGTGGCAGAGTTCTGCTATGGGGATGCATGTCCGCTGGAAGTGTTGAAAATTTACATTTCATTAATGGGATCATGGATCAGCATGTCTATATGAACATTTTGCGAGACAATTTAGCAGAAAGTGTGCAGAAATTAGCGCTCGAAGGAAGATACATTTTCCAACAGGACAATGATCCAAAGCATACTGCAAACTTGGTGCGAGAATGGATGATCCATAACGTGCGACAGCAACTTCACACACCCCCGCAATCACCTGATGTTAACCCCATTGAACATTTATGGGAGAAACTTAAACGGCGCGTTCGCAAACATAACGTTTCAAGTAAGGAAGAGTTAAAAAACAGAGTATTGCACGAATGGGAGAACATTCCAGCAGAACTTACTAGAAAGTTGGTTTCAAGTATGACAAGAAGGTTACAAGCGATTATCAAGGCCAAGGGCGGTCCAACTAAATATTAGTTTTTACATTTGTTTCCTATCTGTTAAATTATTATTAGAAACTGTTAAGTGTACGGAGACTTTTTTGGCATTATTTTTGTATAGATGTTTATATTATTGATGTAATTTTTAAATAAGGATTCGTTTTTGCAATTATTACTAATAATCGTTAAAAGTATGTTTCAATTATCAATAAAAATATGTTCTCATAGAGTTTTGATTAATTAATTGAATACAACAAAAAAGTTCGATGTAAAGCAGGTAGTGTACGGAGACTTTTTGGACTAACTGTAGGTAGGTATGGTCATACCTACCTAAATTGTATTTTTCATAGATACAATTAAATAATTTATCAATTAAAACATGCGAGACTTATTTAGAAATGAATACAACAGTATATTCTGTGCTTTATTTGGCAATAAACAAGTTTATTTTTATTATTTTGACAAAATTATGTAACATTCCCATAAGAAACCATGTATTTTGAATAGCGTTACTAGCACCAGCGCCCTTGCGGTGAATTAAAAAAGCTCAATTAGCGTTCGTTTTTTGGGACCGTATTTAGAGTATGCCAATTCGCCTCCTTATCTCTAGTCTTTATAGTTGTGCGAATGAAGTTTGTATAATATTTCTTGAAACAAAGAAAACTATAAAATAAAAATCGTAAATAATAATTTATAAAATATAAATAATAAAAATATACGAAACGAAGTAAACCGCGAATGCATGGCATTACATTGACAATCGATTTATTTAATTAGGCGCTTAGTATTTTCCTAACTATTTATAAATGAAATTGCGTGTGAATATTATTTTATAAACTAAATTTCATTATTATAAAGACAGATTAATTTTAAAATGCCTCAGAGGGCCAATGTTTTTTGAGTTTTTCCTAGTTGACTTAACGAGGAATATTGAATATCGAATATTGCTGGCACGACTCTGATATTTTCGATAATGATTTCAAACAATTATCATTGGTCTCTCTAGAGCTATCAACTCTTAATTCCGAAACTGTTTTGGACGGTATGCCGGTATGACGGTAGACCATAAAAAATATTTCTTAACAAGGCAAATATTTTTGAACAGTTTCAAATTAAACGTTACTGCTTCCGTATGTCTTCCGCTATAACCTTGCGCCGATCCTGTCTTGTCAGTAGTGCCACCTTAAAACTCAGTTATCATGGCGCCCAGCTTATAAGATGTCAATATCTGTTTGCGATGCAGTATCTAGGGTTTCTGAGATCTGTGAGGTGGCCACATTTTAGCAGTTAAATAACCTACGCGATCTTATTTTTATTTTAATTTAAAGTATAACACTTTAGTAGATAGTACTTTTATTTTTAAAAATATCACCAATTTAAAATATAATATTCTGATACCTTGTTCGTTTATTCATTCGACTACGCTCTTCTTACGGGGGATGTATATAATTTAAATACGAAAATAAAGAACTGGTTATATTCAATATAATTATTTATTTTAAACATTTCAATAGGTTGGTATATAAAATATATTTTTTTAATTTTATTTTAGTTCACAAATAGGTAAGAATAATTCTGTGCAACTCTCATCAGTCCAATAATGAGCAAGAGCGCCAGGATGTAAGGCTATACAAAACTCGTTTCCGGAACGGTTGTTTGGTTCTCCACGACCCCAGTCGAAGAACGTAATATAGTCCATTTCGTTGGATAACCATATCCAGTCGTTCGATTTAGCTAATTTTGTTCCTGATGTCCAGACTACAGTTTCAGTTCCAAAAACTATAAATCAATATAATTATTATTACTATTATTATTATTATTATTTTCTCCTTTTCAGGGTTGTTGATGAATTGGGATTCTTACGAAATCAGTCAATTGATCAGGCTTTAAACTTTTTCAATGTGAGTTGTGAGACTTTTACTCCTCGGCAGGTAAGTTCAGAGTTTTTCTTACAATACGACAAGTTTCTAGTAAAACTGACTTTTGCATTATTATTATTATTATAATTTTTTAATTTGGTGTCATCGGCATCGACTACTAAGGGCATTAGCCTCGTGTTCTATGTAGGCTTTTTTACTGTTTCCAGCGCTATTTTAGGAACAACACTGTTAATTAGAACCCAACAGTGAATGGTAGATGATATCTTCTGGTGTAAACTAGTGTAAATCTTTGCAAGAAACGAATGATGGCTGGGAGTGTACAATACGATAGTTACAGGGACGTTACAACAGAAGATCTTAACGAAGCGTTTTAGTCTTTAATTTTAGCGAATTTTAAAAAATCATTAACAAGACAGGCTTAAATTAGGGGATTATATTAAGAATAGTGCTGTTGAGAAATGCATTTATTTTCATTATGATATTTCAAAATTTATAGCCCTTTGTTTTTTTTTTTTTGGAAATTGGAAGAAATTAATTATTGCCTAATTGCCAATTGAATATTTGAACGACTGCTCGGAATCTAGGTCAAGACCAATCGCGTATGTATTAAATTGGTAAATTGGGATTGTTAAAAAAAACAATGATTCCTGAAGTTAATGTTTAAAAATAAAAGTGTGCCAATAAAAATAGTGTTAAAATGTGTAGATAAAACTAACAAAACTGAATCTTCTAAAGCGCTTTTCGAGCAGAAAATAATAAAAACGTTTAGAGTAAATCGTGATTTTCTGTTATTTCTGGTAAAACTAGAAGTAAACTGATTAATTCATTCATTTTTGAGAAAATATTTCAAATAACTTAAGTCAGTTTTTACACACATTTTAAAATATGTTACTAAATAGGTACTTACCAACCATCTCAAATATTGTGTGTAACATTATTTTATATTCAGAAGAGTTTCTTGCAGATATCAATTGCATATTATGGGATTTGCAGAAATCTATTGAGTCGTCGAAATTCATCTACAAATACAAACATAACGTATGAGCTAAAAGCAAAACTTTTTGATGCTATTCGTTTTTGTACAAAAGACTTCTTTTGGACAACGATGAATTTGAAATTTAAGAAAATTGTGCGATTTGTATTTTATTCATTGTAGCCGTAGAAAAAGTGTAGTGTGTTTAATAAATGCTTTTGGTATTTATCTTTATTGGTTGTAGGCAGGTAGGGTAAGGTCCAGAACACTGCGGTCTCTTCGGTCTATTGTATTCCCCTGCTTTCCCCGTATTCAGGTACTATCTTTGGAATAGTTCTGTATCTGTACTTAGTTTTAATAGATTCCCTATCAAGTGTTTTCGTTCTTTCCGGTTCTAGGCCGAAAAGGAAGAAACGTCGCCTAGTAAGAGCTTCGCATTCGAAGATCACATGATATGAGGTTTCCTCCTCTTCCATGCATAGTCTACACGTAGTGACATCACTGTGTAATCCCATCACATGAAGGTATTTTAGCAAGCAGTGACCGATTAGTAATCCCATGCTTACTGATTCTGTGCCAGTAAATTTGGTATTTTGTGGTTATCTACCTGTTCACTGCCTGTCGAGTAGAGGTTTTGATTATCCTAACTACAGGTTCGGGTCCTGTGAATGGTAGATCTGATCCCTCTTTGGCGAGTTCATCAGCCTTTTCATTTCCTTGGATACCTTTGTGCACTGGTACCCACGCTAGTTTTACCTTGTTGTGGGTTGCTGGATCATTTAGTATTCCAAGGCAGACAAGCTTTGACTAGATTCTGTTTGAATCAAGAGCCTTTAAGGCTGCTTGGCTATCTGAGAGAATTATGATGTTTTTTTTTTGTACTTCCTTCTTAAATTCTCTCGTACACACAATTCGATTGCATGTATTTCAGCCTGAAATACAGTGGCATGTTTTCCCAGTGAGACGGTGATGTCGCATTTGGGTTTAACTCCATGTACGCCAGAGCCTGTTCCCTCGTTAGTTTTAGATTCATCCGTATACCATACGAGATCGCTAAGCAAGTATTTATCTATCTCCTTATTTACCTAGTTCCAAATACAGTTGACCTGGAAGAGTATGTTAAAGGTTAGGAGGGGTGTCATGTGATCTGATCCCATATTTAATATAGAATCATTTACTTCATGTGTACTTCTGGTATGTTTTTGTTGCACAATATACTTTTTTTAAAGCACCACTAAACTTTTTAAGTAAGATATGTAGGTATGCTAAAACAATATTTTTAATTAGTCTGTTTTATTTGAGATATTACTCTTTATCATTTTAATAAAACTGAAAATATTTTTGATTATAAGGATATATTTTGAAATTGAGAAAATTTAATAAAGAGAATAAGCAGAATTAGTGAACTTAATAAGTTTTAAAAAACAAATTCAAGAAAAAATAATTTTAATTGAAGAAGGGAACCCAACCTCTTAAATGCAGTCAACTTTTATGAAATAAATGAAACTCCAAATTAATATATAAATTCAGATTTTATGTGGTTTTGATTTAAAATTTCATTTATCTACATTTTAATTTTATTTTGGAGTTAATACAACAAAAAATTCTAATTAGATTTATAGTATAAAAATGAAAATAGGAAATTTACAAATTTGCTCTCTCATAGTATCGCTGCACTGCTGGCGTAACTTGCACCAACATCGAACCCAAATCAGTTTTTGTTTTATAATTTTCCGGATATTAGAATTTAAATTGATTAATTAGCATCAGACACTATTATTTATGATACATACTATTTGACCCTTTTAAGATGGAAGCACCCATGTAGAATCCGTATTTAACTGACATTTGGAACCATTTTATTAGGACCATAGAGGCTTACAAATCTTTAACAATTAAGTTTCATTCTTAAGGCATGCTTTGATTATTTTTCTCTGTCAAAAATAGCAAGATTATATTAGAGACTTTTTTATAAAAAACTACACCACTAGATTCGCATGTTCTTAAAATGATTTGATACAAAATTTCGTTAAAATATGTTTCATAATAAAAGATTTAAAAGATTTTTTTATAAACCATCATTGAATTCTTTGTAAATTATGCCAAATACTTTTTTTTTAATTTAATCCATACATTAAAAATAATAATTAATAAATTGGAAACGGTACCCTGTGAATAGTAGAATAAAAAAAAATGAGTATACACCCACTAAACATAAAACATTATCAGTCTTTTTGTCTAACGTTTTTTTATATGACTTTTCTGATATATTTTTAATCGGTACTAAATATCCCATATATGTTTAAATTTTAACATCATATTTATTATCATTTCTCGCATATACAAATGAAAGAAATACATTCATTACAATGAAAGTCGTTGGTTTTTCGAAAAAATGTTCGGACAGGTCAATTATGTTTACTAAAAGGAATACATTCATTATTTCGTAAACCACTAATTTTCGGGAAATATCCTGAAACCCCTCGATTTTTTACTTTCCTATCTGTATTATCGTTTGGAGAAGAAAATTCTTCAAATAAAAGTTATTTATAATATTATCTATAATTGTTCCATACAAAATTTTCCTAAAATGGTCCGTTTTCGAAAAATTTGACAAAATGTAAAAAAATCAAATTTTTATAAAAATTGTTTAAATAAAAGTTATTTGTAATATATTTCTTTATAATTTTTATTCCACACAGAATTTCTCTAAAATGAACCGTATTCGAGATATTTTAGAAAAAGTGTAAATTTCAAATTTGGAAGAAAACTCAAAAATGAAAAAACATAAAATTTCAGACTTAAGTTTTATTCCAGCCTGAGTTGAATGAATTAGATTTTGGACAGAGTCGGAACATCTGGGGGGTACTCTTAGGTCGTTTTTATATTTTATGGAATATATCTGTTATTTATGTTTGGAGAAGAAAATTGTTTAAACAAAAGTTACTTCCTATATTATTCTCTATAATTTTTGTTCTATCCAAAATTTTCCTAAAATGGTCCGTATTCAAGAAATTTTACAAAATGTAAAAAATCAATTCTTTAAGAAAATTATTTATATAAAAGTTGTTTGTTATATAATAGAAAACTCTTGTTTAATACATAATTTCGCTAAAATGGACCGTATTCGAGATATTTGAGAAAAGGTGTAAATTTTGAAACTTGAAAACTCAAAAACGGATAAAGAAAAAACATTAAAGGACCTCGCACTTCTCTTATGCAAAGTGGCGGGCCCATCAAATTTTTGAAACTCTGGTATGTTGTTGTAGTCAACCTAGTAACCAATGGGCCCAACTCAATCCTATAACTAGTTTTCGATATACGGGGTGTTAAAGTTGAAAATTGCCCAGTTTTTGGAAACTTTTATTTATAAACTTACAAGTTAGATTGAATTTCTGATGCATACATACATTTACTATGAGTTTTAGTAACACATTAGTACATACGTACAACTAAAAATAGGTATAATTAGAGGGTGATTCACAAATGTATGACGGTAATTTTTTGTAAAATCACACTAATTCTACTGTGCGGTCAGAGAAGCATATTTTCAAAAAGTACTACTCAATATGGTATTTTGACGACAAAATATTGCACAGTACACATTTCTTATACAGGGTGTTTTATAGAGAGAACCACTACATAAAATTATTTTTTTTAACGATTAATTCAAACCCCTGTACTTATGAGTTGAATTTTGGGAAAGGTAATATCACTAAAATATATCTACCTCTAAGCTTTAAAATATACAAGGTGATTTATTTGTTGGAATGTATTCTATAACAAGAAAAGTACAAAATCCACGAACACCCTGTATTCTAAAATTTTCACCGTCAAATGTAACCATTTTCTCAATATATAATAATTTTAATGTCTTTTTAGGAAGTATGAATTTTAAATCCGATACTATGACTAGTTTTTGAGATACAGGGCGTTAAAGTGGAGAATTGCTGATTTTAGTTATTTTTTCTTCAAACTGAACAGATATATTTACTTAATGTATACAAAAGTTTAATATAATTTTTGGTCAGATGTTCATAAAAAAGGACATTTTAAAATATTTACTGTTACAGAGTGATTCACGAATAAATCACAATATATTTTTGGAAACACTCTATAATTCTACAGTTGCGCAACAAATAAATTATTTCATTATCTTAATATCTACCCTTTAACAATTTTGAGGATAAAAGATTTCGCTATTTTTAGTTTTTATACAGGGTGAGCCATGCAGCCAACCAACAAAAATAATTATATTTTGAAATTATTAAAGCAAGACCTTCCATTTCTTTAGAGATTTTCGATTAAGTTACATTAGGCATGTAACCATAAGATTTTAAAATATAAGTACAGGATAATCTAACTGTTTTATAATTACCTAGCAAATATATCGGTATACCACATCATTTTCCGATATAAGTGAGAAGTAATGTTGATAATTATCCATTTTATTATGTAGGTGTAATTTAAATACTGGATACCTATTTGGTGTGGGCAGGTACTTCACAGTACTTATACGTGTAGAGCGAGTTATATAATAAATTAAAAATTGTTAAACTTATAATTATTACTCGCTTATTATTAAATAAATGAACTATTTTTAGTAGAAGATTGTGTTAATCCAGGATACTCTATACAGGCAACAATGATACCTCAGGTAAAAACGTATATTTCAACAACTTCTAAAAAAATTAACTTTACCGTTACCTCATTTCCACACAACAATTACGTTTTTGAACAGTGTCTAGTATGTGAGATACCGCTAAATAAATATAGTCACGATTCGTCAGCTTTGCGAAAGAGTCAATTTAAAAATGATTCTACTGATAATTTCGCCCAAAAATGTATTTGAACCTCATTACTTTCTTGCAGGTTGTCCAGCATATTTTTTTAAGATAAATCAATCAACCTGTATACTTCACAGCTTATCGTTATGCATATATAGTGATGTATATTAGACGAATTCCTTAAAATCGATATTTAACAATTATTTTTACGGCATTAAGTTGGATTTAATAATTTTTGGTCAATATTAAAGTGGGCTTA